GTGGGTGCATCCCATTGGGGCCCATGGACTTGTGGGTGTCAGATTTGCCTAAATGATCTCTAACCAGATTCTCCTTGACTAAGGGAGAGTCTTCCTTTCTCCAGACTTCCTCTCTTGTCCTCAGGGTCTGGAATTCCTGAGGACTGCCTTAGCAGTAAAGACTGAAGCAAAGAAGGCATTCAGTAACCATCTTCTTTGTATCCTTTGTTACCAGGGCACCCACCCCATTCAGTAGCAGGCCCACATTTTCCCTAGTCTTCCTTTTGCTATTGGTGTATTCAAAGAAGGCCTTCTTGTTGTCCTTGACATCTCTTGCCAGATATAATTCCAAATGGGCCTTCCTCCTCACATCCCTGCATACTCTGACAATATCCCTATATTCCTCCCAAGTGGCCTGTCCCCTTTTCTACATTCTGTAGATTTCCTTCTTCTGTTGGAATTTTGACAGGAGTTCCTTGCTCATCCATGCAGGTCTCTTGCCCGCTTTGCTGGACTTCTTACTCAGAGGGATGCACTACTCTTGAGGCTGGAGAAAGTGATACTTGAATATTAACCAGCTCTCCTGGCCCCCACTTCCTTTTAGGGCCCTACCCCATGAGAATCCTCCAAGTTGGTCTCTGAAGAGGCCAAAGTTAGCTCTCCTGAAGTCCAGCGTTGCAATCCTGCTTATTGCCCTGCTCCCTCCTCATAGGATCCTGAACTCTACCATCTCATGGTCACTGCAGCCAAGGCTGCCCCCAACCTTCACATCTCCAACCAGACCGTCTTTGTTTGTCAGTACAAGGTCTAGCAGCACACCTCTCCTTGTTGGTGTCTCCACCACCTGTGTCAAGAAGCTACCATCAATGCTCTGCAGAAACCTCTTTGACTGTTTGCGCCTAGCTGTGCTGTCTTGCCAACAGATGTCAGGGTGGTCTCAGGGTGGCCCATGAGAACCAGGGCCTGTGATCGTGAGGCTACTTCCAGCTGTCTGTAGAAGGCCTCATCAACTTCCTCTTCCTGATCAGGTGGCCTGTAGTAAATCCCCACCACCGTGTCACCCATGTTAGCCTGCCCTTTAATCCTTACCCATAGGCTCGCAACTTGCTCTTCATCCACCCCGAGGCAGAGCTCCATACGTTATAGCTGCTCCCTCACATAAAGAGCAACTCCACCACCTCGCCTTCCCGGCCTGTCTTTCCTAAAAAGCACATAGCCGTCCATAACAGCATTCCAGTCATGCCAGCTATCCCACCATGTCTCTGTAACTGCAATGAGATCATGGCCCTGCAACTGCACACAGATCTCTAATTCTTCCTGCTTATTCCCCATGCTATGTGCATTGGTGTATAGGCATTTCAGAGAGCCAATCAAGCAGGCAAGCTTCTCAGGAGAAGTGCAAGAGGATCCTCCATAGCCATGTCCCATGCTGTCTCCCCTGGCTGCATGCACCCGCTGAAGGCATCCTGACTTAAGCAGTGTTTTACTGACTATCATGTCTCTATACCACTCCCCTTCCTGCGTCTTTCCTAGTTTAAAGCCCTCCTTACCAGGCTGGCCAACCTGTTGGCAAAGACACGCGTGCCCCGCTTGGTAAGGTGGATCCCATCTCTCTCCATCAGGTGTTGATCTTCAAACAGGGTCCCGTGGTCATAGAAACCACAACCCTGCTGCCAACACCAGGAGAGCAGCCAGTTGTTAACTTGGAAAACTCATCTACTCCTCCTCCTGTCCTTCCCCCTCATAGGCAGGATTAACGAGAAAATGACTTGGGCTCCCAGATCCTTGACCACCATCCCCAGAGCTCTGAAATCCTGTTTGATGGTATCCAATTTGCCCTTTGTTTCATTAGTGCCCACATGGAAGAGCAGCAGAGGGCAATAGTCTGATGCATGAACAAGCCTTGGTGGTCTTTCCATGACGTCTCTTATTCGAGCTCCTGGCAGGCAGCAAACCTCTCTAGACAAGTGGTCAGGTTGGCAGATAGGTACCTCTGTCCCCTGCAGCAGGGAGCCACCCACAACAATCACTTGCCACTTCTGTTGGGTGTTCCCACATGGCACGGGGTCTGTCAGGCCAGTTGCTTCCCTTGAAGCCATGTCCAGCTCCTGTTCAGCTTGGAGGGCGCGAAACTTGTTCCTCAAAGGCAAGTCTTGAGGAGGAGCAAGAACCTTTTTCCTTCTATGAGAAGTGACTAGTTTCCAGCCTTCTTCAACAGTGTTATGATGTACCATTTCACACTGTACAGTGCCCTCCGGCAACTCCACTGCAGTGGGGGGTGGGGACTCTTGGAGCTGCACAGTCTCCAAGAATACCCTATCAATCTCTTGATCATCTTCTCAGATGCTACAAAGCCTACTGACTTCCTCCCGTAACTCCTTTACCTGGCAATACAACTGATCAACCACAGCACACCTTGCACAGGAGAGCTGACTGTCAGCCCAGGCCTCATGGAGAGGCCCTAGGCACTCCCTGCAGCCTGACACCTGTAGAGCTACATCTGCTGTCAGAGGGTCTGTCTGGGTTGAAGCTTCAGATACAGGTGATGCAGCAACTCCAACAGCCACTGGGGAATGTGCTTTGCGGCATGTCATGACCATACCTGGGGAAGCACACACTACTACGAGAAATGAAGGTGCTTCTTTGCCTTCTGGTGTCCTGCTGCGCGAACTGCTGCGCAAACTGCTGCCTCTGTTGGCTGCGCTCATTCCATTTAATGCAAATATCATATATACTTTAAATATATATTGCTGAAAGGAAGAAACACCCAGTTTTCACTCTTCCCCAAAGGTCCTCATCTTAGGACTTCATGATTCATTTGGGATACACAGTGGTGATTGTCAGCTCCCTTTCTCCACAAAATGGGACAGCATCCCTTTAAGCAGTGATGAAAAAGCGTGTCAATCACTTACACTCTGCGTGTCCGTGGGCGAAGCCGTCTCAGTCTCTGAGGCACCTGTTCACTATCAAAGGTTGAGTGGTAGAAGAACAGACGCACCTCTTCATCCATCAACACCCAAATGGGTAGGCAGAGTAGGTTCTATGCCAAGAGCAAGCAGGAAGCGGAGTAATAACAGTGGGAGAGACCAGTTCTCTTTATTTACATATGTAACATATTTGCCTCTCTGACCTACAGGATCATAAAGTACATTCATTACTGCCAGAAATCTCCCCCTTCTGCTTCACACTCAGCAGGACAAGGCTGAGCAGTGACAGTTTCTCCTGTTTACTTCTGGAGCTAGCTAATGCATCGCTTCACTCTTTGTGTGCCTGATTTAATGCAAAAGGAGTAAGTTGTTCTGTGTGGTTCCCTTCAGAATATTAATCACTATGAAAAAGAGAGGCAGTCTTAAGTAGCAAAAGACTTGGCCAGTGAGTTGCGGAAAGCTTCAGACTGTTACTGGTTCAAAGTCAGGGCTACAGCTAATCTGCACACAAAGAATTTCTCTCCCTGATGTTACTGGCTGTCTCTCCACTGTGGAGCAGACATACCCAGAAGCTCACCTTACTTTCCTACTCCTTAGGTGTACATCCCAACTCCATATTCATGCAACACCTGAAGAATATCCATTTCCTCATACATCTTGGATTTTTTTATAGGGATGTCTAGATAGGAAGGCAGGGAGGGACTGAGCCTTTGCAAACAGTGTACTCCAGTAGCTTCCTACAGTCCAAAGAGTTTGAGGACTAGGACTGCAGGGTGTCCCACAGTGTGGACACTACGTCATGTAGGAAAATGCTATAGAGAGAAGTAGATGCCCAGGACTAGAGTGGTACTATCTGTCTGAGCTGATTTCAAGGTATAACTGTCTGCAATGTTCAGCTCAATCTCTACGCTAAAATTAAGTTTTACCTTCATGTAGGCATTTAGGACAGGGATCCTGTTCTCAGCAATCTCCTTTTTGGCCCCAACATAAACCTTCCCTGGAAAGCACAAAATCAATGATAGTTATTGAAGGGAAAAAAAGAGGTTATCAGAGAAAAGAAGCAATCCAAAGAAAGTATAAAGTCCTGGATCTCCAGGAAAATAGCTATTTTCTAATGGATTTCAGGTTCCTAAATGAACTTTACCACATGTGGAGAAGCTGCCAATGAGCCTTGAATTTCCTTCCCAGATTTCTTGGCTGCGAAAGGTCCTTGTCACAGCTAGCAGTCCTGCGTTCTTCCATACAATACACTCATGTTTAGGACAGGCTGGGACTGAGAAAGCTACTAATCATGTACAGGTTTCGAACTGACAGCTTACCTGGAAGCATGGGGAGTGTGCAAGTAAAAGGGCTATTTTTGCTCTCTGCTCCGTATCTCTCCTCTAGTTTGGCATGCAGGGCATAGAACTGACGGTAGCGGCGGAAAATCAGGTATCTGCCACCGCCTTTAATCTTCACTTCAATTACAAACATCTGAAACAGAGAAGAAGGATTCAGACTAATGGTCGTATTTATTAAGATTTACAAAATTAAAGTGAGGAATACAGTAGCAACATAAGATCAGCATCTCACTGCTGAGAATATTGTCTTAGGGGCAGACTGAAAAGTAAGACTTCAGTTAAGTATCTGCATACTCAAGCACTCGAAAATAAGAAGTTAGCACCAGACCGTGTGTTATATGTGTGGATCCAAATTGCTTATGGATCACGTCTCTTTGGCTGCTTTCTACCACATAATTACAGAACCACCGAATCACACAAAATCATAGAATAGCTGAGGTTGGAAGGGACCTCTGGAGATCGCCTGGTCCAACACCCCTGCTCAAAGCAGGGTCAGCTAGAGCAGGCTGCCCAGGACTCTGCCCAGTCGGATTTGGAATATCCCCTAGGATGGAGACTCCACAGCCTCTACGGGCAACCCGTTCCAGTGCTCAACCATGCCCACAGTGAAGAAGTATTCTCTTTTGTTCAGATAGAATTTTCTGTGTTTCATTTTGTGCCCATTGCCTTTCATTCTGTCACTAGATACCTCTGAGAGGAGGTAATCTTAAAAAGGAAACTTGTCACATACCTTCCCTCAGAGCTAACAAAATATATTAGGGAGGTAAATGTAAATATTCTCATTTGAAATATAGAGAAATGAAGACACCAAGCAATCAAAGATGATGTTTTATGGTAGGATGCTTAGGACATCTAATTCTATAGGTAGGCATCTAAATGAATAGATTTTCAGAGCTGAAGGCATTCATATTTCCCTCTGACTTTGAAGTACACAATTTTAGAAATTCTGGTCTATGTAATCTGTCCAAGGGCAAAGCCAGAAACAAAATCTAAGTCCCCTGACTTCTAATGCCCTCTCCAACCACTACATTATTTCTTATCTCTCCCAAAAACTGCTTTGCTGTAAAGAAACTCTTGATTCCCATGCACTGACCTCTAAGTCATGTTGTAGCCATATCCTTCAGCAAATATAAAGAGAGAGCAACTAAACATCACTATATTCAAAGGTAAAACTTGCAAGCTTCAATGGGAAAACTCTATGAGCAGCGTCTCCAGCAAAAACAGCATACTCTGTAGAAGTCAGACTGAGCTGGTCTTATCCAAAACCCTTTCTCAGAAATCTCTTTGAGCTTTTCTCCCTTATTTCCTTCTTTTGTGCTCTTTCATGACTCATTTTCTGATCTAGATATGATATCAAAGATATAATAACTTCTGTGGACATGGAAGTGTCCTAATTTGCCAGCGCCATGGAAAAATGGATCCAAGTTCCTCCTTTTTCCCTCTTTGGCTTTTTCAACTTCCCTCACCAAGGTCACAGCTCTCTAACAGGAAATAAATAGTAGTGGGTAAGAATTTAGAAAACAAGCTATATTAGAGAATAGATTTCTGTCAGGTTCACCCAGAGAATGAATTTTAGACTAGATCTGTGATAGATTAACCTTCATCCCAGAAAAGAGAAACTCTGAGGAGCTCTCAGCATGGAACCATTCATGCCAAAAAGAAACTACACCAGGTTAACTGCCTCTTGTTTCCCACAACCAAACCAGTCACAGTTGAGGGCCTATAGAGACAAGATTAATCTCCCTTCTTACAAAATAATTAGTAAAGCCTTTCTTCTCTTCAATGTCTGCAATGTTAGCTGAAACAGGTACATCATCTGGAAGCTGGTCAAAGTCACTGTGAAACAAGAACAAAAGATTTAGGTTACTCAAACTGGTGTTAGCCTTTGAAGGCCTCTATGCCATACAGAATAAAGTTATCATATTGTTAAGAGTCAGATTGTTAAATGTCAAAATCAAGAAGTTAGAAACTCATGGTGTCATTCTCTTTTTCTGAAGGTCTGATCTTGAGATGTTAAGCTTCTGCAACTTCAGCAGAAGTCAGTGGCTGTTGTGGGGCCTCATCAAGCCTGAAAACCAGCCCTAGTGCTCCTGGCCTTGTCAGAGTAGCAGGACTACAAACAGAAACACTTGAGCTAGTAAGCTTTTCCTGAATACTGAGATCAACTGTGGGTTCATTCTTAATCCTTCCTACACCATCTAGCAGATTCAGAATAACAACTTTGGAGCAGTATACCTTATTTTAAGGAGATCATTAAACATTATCACTTATGTTATTATTACTACATTACTGTAAGGAATAGGAAACAGTTCTGGGAAAAGAACTTGTTGTGCTAAGCACTATAGAAACAGAGTGCAAAGGTGATTCTTAAAAACCTTACACTATATAAGATATACAATGTACATTACACATATAAGATAAGAAACAACAGAAGGAAAAAAAACAAATAGGAAAATGCAAAGAAACAAAGACATAATAATGTGCTACATCATAACTAGTGGTTCTGCATCAGCTGTCAAATTGTTTTCAATATTTTTTGTAAGCATCACAGTAAAGTAGAATTTTAAAGAGACTTTGGAAAAAGAATGAGCAGCTTAGCAAATATTTACAAGACCACCTTTCAACCACAACAGATAACCTGAAGAAAGCACAAAGACAGATGTTCGAAAATGTCAGAAGTATATGAAGGAATAATTGATAATGGGCAGGATAAGGATTAGCTTTGCAGATCCTTAAAATGGAAGATGGACAAATTGTATCTGAAGCAAGAGAGAAGGAAGGATTCCCAAAGGAACGCCTAAAGAGCAACCATATGACCAGATTCACATAGTACTTGGCTATATTGTCCACACAATAACAGAACATGGATTGGCAGGTTGTTTTTCCTCTAGGGTCTTGTCCTTGGCACAACATCTTTGACAAACAGAAGACAAGTACACCTTTGCCTCAACCTTATGTCATGTTGTTAGAGTGCTATTTATATTAACACTTAAGTAACAAAGATCAAGAATGAGGTGGAAGAGAAAGAGAAACTGTAAAAAGGATCATCTAGGAAACGTCAAGCTAAAGCAATGTTACATTTTCTGATCCTACAAAAATATGGCAGTTTTTTCAGTTTATTCTGCTATCAGAATATCCCAAGCAGGGTGCTTCCACAATGCATAGCCCATCTGGAAGGCTGAAGTAATGATGCAATGTCTTGCAATAGCTTGTTGTATAAAGCGAATGACATGAATCAGCACCACCCACAACCCCATAAGTACTTACACTTACTGTGAAGAGGGATGTGGTTATGGAGATCAGGAGATATAATTAGTTATATCACAAAAATTCATATCACAGACCCCAGTGACAGGGAAACTCTGTTTGCAGCTATAAAGAGGACAACAACTCAGTATGTCCTAGGTGAGGAACATTCCCTGGGAAAGGAGGAAGAAAGAAAGCCCACTCCAACTTAATAGATTACGTGCTCTGCACTAGGAAGCCTAATATTTTGGAAGCTGTAAGTTTTTTAGGACCATCAAGAAAGCCTGCATCAAAATCAAGGCAACAGATTGCAGTGGTTACATGGAGGCTTGTGGGGAGGAGTGAGGAAGGACAGACATGTTACCTCTTTTCTCGCAGCTGTCGGGGAAGAGACATGCCTTCAGCTTCTTAAATCCAGGAGGCACAATGAGCTGTTGCCCCTCCACTTCTTGGGCAGTTTGCAGTAGAATGGGATGACCTAGGTCACAGCATTCTCCCTGAGTGAATCAAGACTCCTTTCCAAGGCCTCATAAATCTAATCCTTACCGTTGCAGCGTCAGCCTGTTTCTTCTGCACCTCCCCACCCCCATCAGACTGAGGAAGTGCTAAAGAAGGAAAACAGTCATAAAGAAAGGCTGTTTTGTGATGTCTGTCGTGTATTGAAACTGCCACAATTGAGAAACCAAAAGCCTAACGAAAGGCAGAAACTGTGAGCCATCTATTCCATTGTACATCTCTTCACAGAAAGATCTGCTTCCATGGAAAGCAAGTATGAAATACTATCATATCAACATAGGAATGGTTTATAGCCACATCACACAGGCATGCATGACTGCAATACATGAATGACAGCAGAAATTTGGTCCAGCAAAAGCCTCAGATAAAACTGGCTAGAGTTGAATGTCCTAAAGATATAAGATGGTCAAAATGTATCCTATGCTCCCACTCCCTGTCTTATGGTTTGGTTATGGCACATCACCTAGAAAAAGAGCTAGCCCTAGAGTTTATAGATTTGCATAGGAAGTTACATGGGAGTGGGTTCAATAAATTCTGTTCTGACCCACCTATAATGAATCCAAATATACCGCTACCACTCTACTAACATTTGTAAACTAGGACGATACCTCTGATCCCTTCTTGAGACTCTGTGATTCCTGAGGATCCTCCTTTCTGTGGACCAAGAGCCAGGAGATGGAGCTAAAGAATAAATTTTCAAGTGGGGAGCAGGAGGGACAGTCAGGAAATTCAGCCTTGTCAAACATATGGGTAGCAGGGAATCAGGCACAGGAGGTTAGGAAGTGAGCTCTGAAGGAGGATTCAATGCAAGTAAGACATGAGTCCTTGAAAGAGCAGAGCACTTTTCAGCTCCATATACTCGAAACAATCCACATCTACCAGCCACAAAGACGGTAATGGTTCACTCAAGGAGAATGTTAACTGCCCTACCTTATACACAAAGGGTAGGAATATAGCATTTGTGTAACATCAGTTGGCAATCTTTCAAGAAGAAAATAAAAGGAAGAAAGTGTCAAGGAAACTGTTGTTTCCTAATCTTGTGACTAAGTTGCAGCATATTTTATCTGCCTTAGGCAAAAATCTGTCATGCACAGTATCTTTGCCTCTACATTTCAGTCTTTGATTGTCTTCCGTTTTCATATTCAGTACATATTTGGTTCCTTTTCCTCCTTCTGCAATCAAACAAAAATTATTATTTGAATGGATTAAAAGTCAACTGGCATCCTTCAGAATAGAAACCTATTTACAAGTGCAACCATCAAACTTGAGAGTAAACTGCATTTCATTGCCCTTTACTGAAGTAAATTCTTCACTCAGCTCTTTCCTGTGGACAATGGAAGGCACCATTATAGAATTTGAGAGGGATTATACTGTATCTTGACCAGAAGGGACCAAGGGAAACTACAAAATTTTGTGCTGTGTTTTCTGAGTGACTTTCTACCCTGGGCTGCCCACACAGACTTAGCAGAGTAGTTTTAAGATAGCGTAATGTTGGATATAAGTCTCTCTCCAGACTTTCAGGCTCTGCCGCATATTCTATTGTCTTTATTAGGCCTGCTGGACATGCAGTCTTCCCATAACCTGAAGGCAGACTCATTAGTCTCTTCCTTTCCCCTTGAATGAGAGCAACCATAATCAAGTTTTGCAACTGCAATCCTCTTGCTTCCTCCTGAAATCCAGAAGGAAACGAGAGCAGATCACCTTGAGCAGAACTCTTAACCACAAGATCAATGTAGGCAAGCTCATGAAAATTCAGAGAGGCCCTTCTGAGATGGGCACAACGATCATGCATGGCACAAGAAGTGGGCAATCTTTAATAGATATGAAAGAGAAAGGCTGGAGGTACACTTTAAAAATAACTATTTATATTGGATGTATGCCATAGTTCTGACACGAAAAATCATAAGGTGTATATTCTAATCTCTTCACATCTCTTGGAAGATGATCTAGATATGATGCAGATGTATCTTCTAGGAGATGGATAATATGACATAACCCAAAAATACTTACTCACTGTTTACCTGGAGACATGGCTTTCCAAAAAGAGATTGACATCACAGACAAATCATCTATGCAACTGATTTCCTGTAACCACAGAGTAAAAATAGCAAACTGAGAGCAGTTCAGTTCTACTACTATTACAGACTGTAGTCAGTAATAATACTAACCTGACAGAATGATTCTAAATCTTCTGAGAAATGTTTTGATTCTGCAAATATTTTCTCATTCTGAGCTGGAACAAAACCAAGATCTTCTTTTCTAAAGAAAAGACAAACTTCTACCTCAGAAGGGTGGATAGCTTATTATTTAGAGGGTTCACCTGGGCTACAAGTGTTTAAGAGTTGATACACTGCTTTGTCATGTTCTACTGTGGCAGATCAGTGCCTTAACTACTAGATGTTTTCTCTAAATCTCTACTGTTGTGCTCTTCCACTCTAGTGTAAAACTTAAACCTGACTCTTCCTCCATGTCATAAGAGAGCCTCAGCCTTGGGCTATAGGTCTAGTTACATTCACATTCTCCTCCAGTTAAAATAATCATTTTATTAGTATGAATGAAATAAATGTCTATTATAAAATTGATACCATATTAACAGTATCACAGAACCACAGAATCACAGAACAGTTGAAGTTGGAAGAGACCTTTAGTCATCATCTAGTCCAACCCCCCTGCTCAAGCAGGGTCACCTACAGCAGGTTGCCCAGGACTCTGTCCAGATGGCTTTCGAATATCTCCAAGGATGAAGACTCCACAGCCTCTCTAAACAACCTGTTCCGATGCTTAGTCACCTTCACAGTAAAAAAAGGGTTTTCAGTACCCATATTAAGATATATGCATGCACTAGGAAAGTATCCAAGTTCATTAGCTGAAATGGTCAGCTCTCAGACTTAAGAAAACCCACCCAGACACCATGGATGGCAGGGCCGTGGCCATAAAGCACCATGCACCAACCCTTATCCATATGCAAGAGAAAGTAGGCATCCAGGTGCAAGAAATACTAATAATAAATAAATCAAATGAGACTACTAAAAAAACCTTCAGATGAACATATGCTGATATCATCTTCCACTACAGCACCTGCTATATTATTTTGGCTGTGTATGCCTGTGTGCTCTGATGTTGCAGCCTTCTCTCTAATGCACATGTTAAAAAATACTTGTAAATGTATTGGAAAATACACCTTGGAAAGCTGATAGTATCAGTAAAACCAAATAGCCAGAGCAAACATGGAAGTGAATGGAAAATGGGAATGTAGTCCCAGGTCGCTAAAGATACACAAAACTTTAATAAAAGGTAAATAAAAAGAACCTAACAAAAATACACAGCTGATTCAGTTATGATGACAACACTGCATACCATGTCTACTAGTGCAGTAGCTACCATATTCTTTTGGCTGTGCATACCTGTGAGCTCTAGAATAACGGTTTCTCTCTGATATACCTGTTAGAAAAGTACTGTGTGCTTATATTCAGTTACTGGCTATAGAATGAATGTGTAAAATGACAGAATAAAATGAACAAAAATAATATTCCTAGAATAGAACTAGTCTCATCATGGATTAATCTGTAATGGAAATAATATTTCAACAATCACTGCAATGAATCTGAACATCAAATAGAAACACATACAGCCAATTTGGCAGGATATTTTCCTTCAACCTACTGCCTTCAAAGAACTTGTGAAATATTCATTTCTGTAGCATACACAGCACTAGCAGTTGAGTGCCTTTCCTTCTACAATTGAGGCCGGGCTTGAGGCTGCGCTGCAACTGACACCATCATTTGGAAAAAGTGATTTGGGCTATATTCTATTTTCCGTTCATATTATATTCTTTCACAGATTTTGCTTTTATGGTTATTGTCAGCTTTAAAGGGTGCTTTGATACATATTTATGATATTTGTTCAAATACAGTCATGCTTAGACTCATCATCATTATTATTATAGCACATGGACACTAAATTATGGCTCTGTAAAACTTTTGGACAAAAGTTGTGCAGGACAGACTACTCATATCTGCCCTGTAATTCTTTGTGAAATAGTCAGTGATCTTTTGCAGGTAGTGCTACAAAAAGCTTAGGAGGTAGTTGGTTCAATGATAAGTAACAAGACTCTCTTACTTGGAAACTTTCTTTGAGGATACCTGAAAACAAATCTATTAAAAAAAATTAACGCTTTTGTAGTTGCCCTATTTTTGTGAACTTCTCTCAAAAACAAACAAAGAAGTGATAAGTTGATCTGATTGTTTTTACATTATTCATTAGACAATGGCTCAATCTATATTGGTTGTGTGCATAGACACTCTCCCTGTCATGCTGTGCGTTCAGGGAAGAAGAAAAGGCATAGTAATATGGATGAATAGAACTTTGGAAATTTGCTTTGATCTAAAAAGGACTGGAAGAAAGCCAATGTCACGCAAGTCTTCAAAAAGGGCAAGAAGGAGGAGCCAGGAAACTACAGGCCTGTCAGCCTCCCCTCCATCCCTGGGAAGGTGATGGAACAGCTCCTCCTGAAGGTCCTCACTAAGCGTCTGGAGGACAAGAAGGGGATCAGGAGTAGTCAGCATGGATTCACCAAAGGAAAATCATGCTTGACCAGTCTGCTAGCCTTCTGTGATGGGATGACTGGCTGGGTAGATGAGGGCAGAGCAGTGGATGTTGTCTCCCTGGACTTGAGCAAGGCTTCTGACACTGTCTCCCATCACATCCTCCTAGGTAAGCTCAGGAAGTGTGGGCTAGATGAGTGGACGGTGAGGTGGATTGAGAACTGGCTGGATGGCCGAGCTCAGAGGGTTGTGGTGAATGGCGCAGAGTCAAGCTGGAGGCCTGTAGCTAGTGGTGTCCCGCAGGGGTCAGTCCTGGGTCCAGGACTGTCCATTGATGTATTCACCAATGACCTGGAGGAAGGGACAGAGTGCACCCTCAGCAAGTTGGCTGATGATACGAAACTGGGGGGAGTGGCTGACACACCAGAAGACTGTGCTGCCATTGAGAGGGACCTGGACAGGCTGGAGAGCTGGGCGGAGAGGAACCTCCTGAAGTTCAACAAAGGCA